GGGGTGAGTAGGAGGGTAGGAGCAGGAGGGAGAGGAGGAGCAGGAGGAAGATAGGAAGTGTAGGGGAGGAGCAGGAGGAGAGTAGGAGCGACGGAAGCAGGAGGAAGAGTAGGAGGGCGCAGAGGAAGAGTAGGGAGGAGGAGGCAGGAGGAAGAGTAGGAGAGGAAGGAGCAGGAGGAAGAGAGGAAGGGGAGCAGGAGGAAGTGTGAGGAGGAAGGAGCAGAGAGGAAGTGTAGGAGGAGGAGCAGGAGGAGAGTGGGGGAGGAGGGCAGGAGGAAAGAATAGGAGAGGGGGAAGAGTAGGAGGAGGGAATAGATAATAAAGAAGAAAAGAAGAGATCCTCAGGTGTGAACAGGCTGTGTGGTGGTTGTTGTTTGGTGGTGGTTTTTACAGGCTGTTTTGTCTTGTGGTTTGGTTATTTGGTGGTTGGTACGCGTGCTTTGATTGGGGGATTCTTATTGTAGCTGTGTTTATTTTGGTGGTTTTAGTGGTGGTGGGGTAGGATAGTGTTGTAGTAGTGATGCGGTGGGGTGGTAGTGTTGGGGTAGTTGCGAGCTGTAATGGCAGCGTTATTGATTGTTGTAGTTGTCGGGTTGGTGATGGTACTTGTCAGGGTTTTTTGTACCGAGGAGCTAGCAGCGGCACCGTGAGCAGCGCTGCCGAGTGTCTCGCTTAAGTGATGTACAGTGCTCATCTCTCTCTATGTGCGGGTTAGTTGTGTATTGTTCAGTCAGGCTATTGTGCCGTTCGTGCGTTTATTAGGTTTCTTAGTTTACTTCACTTGTCACTAATGTCTAATAACAGTGTTTGATCACTCAACCATGTACCTTGTTCTGGGTTCTTGGACCTTTCATCCTTCTTAGCCTGGTAAACACGGTCTTTTTTCTCGGCCCTTTTTGTTTATTCTTTCTGCATTTACTTTACCGTTTGGTTGACCATTGAATCATGTCGATTGATTGTTCATACCGTTTTGAGGACACTGAAAAGCTGTGTCTGCAATACTCCACATTTGTTTGATGGAACCACTAGAAATTGTCTGCAATATCCACCGTTGTGAGGATCACTGGAATTCGATGGTTCTGGCAATAGTCCAACCGCGTTGTGAGGACCCCTTGAAAATCATGTCTGCAATTTACTCCCCGTTGTTGAGGGACCACTGAAATTGTCTTGCAATACTCCGCACCTGTTGTGGAGGACACTAGAAATTGTCTGCAATTCTCCACGTTTGTGAGAATCACTGGAAGAAATCATGTCTGCAATACGTTTCACATTGTGAGGGAAACAACTTGGAAATCATGTCATTAATACTCCACACGCGCTTTCGGAGACCACTGGAATCTATCGGCAAATACTCCTCCGTTGTGAGGACCACTGAAAAATCATTGTCTGCAATACTTTTGTTTTTCGCCACCGTTGTCGAGGACCTCCTGAAAATATGTCTGCAATATTCCCCGATGTGGAGGACTGGAAAAATCATGTCTGCATATACTCCTACGTTGAGAACCACTGGAAAACATGTTTACAATACTTGACATTGTGAGGACCACTGCGGACATGTTAATTCTGCAATACTCCATCGTTGTGAGGACCGACTCGGTAATTATATGTGCAATCATCCACGTTGTGTGGACCTTGGCATATTCATTTCTGCAGTATCCACCGTTGCGAGGGAATCAACTCAGTTTTATTCAATAGGAGGTGAGTGGGAAAGATTTTTCAGGTTGTGGGGAGTAGAAACTGAATGTTAAGAACACATGTGGAACAGTCTGGGTATACTTTATTGTAGCGTTCGCAAATCCAGTGGCTTGTTATCGCAATACAGGTTTCTAGGACATAAAGAAGGGACAGTTAGAACTATATCAAAAGGTGAGGTAATCAGCCTTGTGGAGTTAGTTTTGAGAACACCGTGCGTGGTGGGATAGGGATTTCTAATTTATATTTGGGCTCCTAACACTGCACAACAAAACGGTACTTAAAAGAGACCCACTTAATATCATTAGACAAATCAGTCCGTGGTTGACAAGTTTGGTCCAAGTCGGACCGGGAGGGTCGTCATAAGCTCCTCTGATCTTAGGGGAAATATAAACAAAATGCGTATAGGTGATCCTTTATTGGACAACGTTTCACTCCACAACAGTGTGCTTTTTCAAGTCTCACACACGGATTACTATGGGTTGGAGAGTACGGGGTAGTTTATAGTTC